CAATAGTCAATCCGTGCTGGAGAACGCTGCTGAAACTGCGTTCAACAATGCTGTGAACCAGATCAAGCACTTCAATCCTGATGCGACCTTGAACACGGATCAACTGGATTGCTTCGGATATGTCTTGGGCGACACGTTCTTCCCGTCAGTTATGGAGACGGAAACCACCAACGATGTACCGCCATCCGGGAATCCAGTGATGGAAGCCGTGGCGCAGCAATTCGAGCAAGAAATGAGAGAAATTTTCCCCCTTATCTCGGATCATCCTTGAAGACCCGGGATGCCGAAGTATGTTGTAATCTTTTTTTTTTTCGAATTAACATTCTTGAATTCCAGGCTGCATATTGGCCGTTGTTTTTGCTTTTGATGATATCTGATCACTTCCGACATATTGTTGCGGAATATTTCTACCCTGTATGTTTGGTTTCCTTTTGATCCCTTTTTGGGAGGACAAGTTCAAACATCTTGTCCCGAGCCGTAGGGTTAGAACACTAAGTTGCACTTAAGGCAAGGCAGGTTCAAATACCTCAAATTTTACCGCGGCTAGACGGGGCTAGAACACCCTACTCGGGATTTGGGCCGGATGGGTTCAAATACCTAGTATCTGCTTCTGTGGCTATAACACTCAAATCCACCCTGTGGGTGAGATGGGTTCAAACCCTCCAGATTTTCTTACGGGGCTAGAACACTTTATCCTGCCTTTGGGCTGGACGGGTTCAAATACCTCGTGTTTATTTCCGTGGCTAGAACACTCAATCCCACCCTCTGGGTAAGACGGGTTCAAATCCTCCAGATTGCCTTACGGGGCTAGAACACTCAATCCCACCCTGTGGGTGAGACGGGTTCAATTCCTCCGGATTGCCTTACGGGGCTAGAACGCTCTATCCTGCCTTTGGGCTGGACGGGTTCTGTAACACCCCGTTCTAGAACTGGTTTGTTAACATCGCATTATGATATTAAGCGCAGTTACAATCACATGGGTTCAATTAAAATCCGGATAAATTTTTCATTTTAAAACGTACCGAACTTATAATACCCATTTTCGTGATCATAACCATATTACTTTGCGGAAACAGATAAATTAAGCTCAACATCATGTTCATTTTCCATTTTTAAACCATTAATTTACTTCTTATTTATTTCACAACTTCTACTATATTGTAGGTTTCTTCATTAGCTACCCGTGGCTTCAAACCGTGCTCAAATCAGAGCACTGTAGCCCAAGTTAGGACAATTTGAAGCAACACAAGAGAGTGTTGGTCACAGGCCCCGCGCGCTGCAGCGCGCTACCGGGCGCTCGAGCGCGCGCTATCGGGCGCTAAAGCCTCCATCTGGGCGCTTAAGCGCACGGAGGCAGTAAGCATCAGGCATTCCAGTGTGGATGGGCGCTTAAGCGCGCAACAGGGCGCTCAGGCGCGCTATCCTGGGCGCTCAAGCTCCCACGGAAACGTTTTAGCGCGCAGAGACAGAAGCATCTCCTCCTTCAGTGGCGAAGGGCGCTTAAGCGCGGACCAGGGCGCTCAAGCGCGCAACCCTGGGCGCTTAAGCCCCACCCTGGGCGCTAAAACACGAGGGGGCAGTAAGCCACCCAACTTTCTGCAGCAAGGGGCGCTTAAGCGCACGCCAGGGTGCTCCAGCACGCAATCCTGGGCGCTTAAGCCCCCACTTGGGCGCTCCAACGCGAGGAGGCAGAATGCATTGGCACTCGCAGGGGCAGCAGGGCGCTTGGGCGCGCTCCTGGGCGCTTAAGCGCGCTGCCAGGGAATTCCAATTCCCACATTTCTCAAGTCCAAGCCTAGGGGAAAATGCATCCCCATTACAAACCCCAAATGTCCATGCCCCAAAACTAAATCCTAGCACTCATCCAACCTCTCCTCATGAGATTTAGCTAGAATTTGGGCAGCATGACCTTTGTTTTCTCATCGTTTACCAGTTTAAACGAAGAGGGTACCTAATTGATTTCAGCCCAACCAATTCAACAACTCAATACATAACAAGCATGCATATATTGAATTTCAAGTAGGCATCATTTACATTACATATCCTTTACAAATCATAGAACTTAGCTTACAAAACACTATGATCATTCCCTTGGCTCCCATCAACAAAAGGTGTAACCAAAGGCATGAGCATAGGCTAAGTTCATCCAATGAATCAAGATATACAAATGATCATGGGCTTTCAAAATAAAATCCTATACATGTCAACTACAAAAGGCATGCATAAACTCAAAGAAGTGCCATATTTCATGCATAATCCAGATATGGCCACTTGCCACCAGAGGCTCCTGCAGCATCCTTACCTGAAAGGGGGTCCCCACAACACGGGGTGAGATATACGAATATATCCAGTAAACCAGGGGTCCTTGGAGCATCTCTCCACCCCACAGTTCCATATCAGTGTAATAGCAATAACAATAATAATGCAGTAAATACATATCTATGCAAAGTGCAATACATCTCCAGGAGAAATCCCTCGAGCTCTCAAGCTGTCCTAAGGAAACTCAGATGCAAATAGTCCTACTGGCCAGCTAACTACCAAGTATGATTTACGCATCGTCATGCAACATACCACATAGGGAAACACCATCTTATGCCACACCAAATGCATACACATACGTATAACAAAGCATTACACTATTTTATTGCATTTATATACACAATCACAACCTCTACCCTTTCAGGGCTTGGTAGAACAGTCAAGGGAATTACACCCAAGGTCCGAAGGCTTACCTCAAAGCTTCAGTCGACCCTTGTTCTTCACCAACAGTTTCAGCAATCAACTTTTACAAACATACACCTATACAAGGGTAATGCAATTAACATATTGCATTCAAGGATAACTCATCATCATCAATCCAAGCTATCCTATTCATACCACAACACAAGGATGAACTTACCTATTTCAAGGACTAATCCAACTCCATTGCTTGCTCCAAAGGTTGGTCAATTAAGGTTGATCCAATTGCCTCAATCCTAGACAACACAAGGATACAATCAATGACCAACCAAACAATGGTTCAACAATGCAAGAAAACTCATAACCAAGTGTCATATTCTTGCAATTTTCCAAACCTACTCATTTGACTACTAAGCTCATTTCTAGCATTTTTTCATAACATCTACTAAGTTTCAAACTTCCTAGAGCATAGTCAATTTAATCACATTTCTATGAAAACCCTAATACACTATTCACAAACCCTAACTCATGCAAAAATCTAGGGATTTAGTGTGCAAAGTGGTGGAAACTTACCACCAATGACCACACAACGATGCAATGAGCGCTCCCCAAGCTTCAATGGAGAGAATCACCCCAAAACCCCAACTCTCACCAAAAGGGGCGAATTTTGGAGGGTTGATATCTCTCTCCCCAATAACTCCCACTCAAAACAAAGCTAGGATTATGAAAGAGGGGAAGAATCTACGTGGTTTAGGCTTTTGAACGGATGAATTTGGTTGAGATTTGCTTTCTCTCTCTCTCTCTCTCCCTTTCCCATTCCTTCTTTCTCCTTCTTCTTCTTTCTCCTTCTTTTCTTTCTGCTGGTGTCGTGAAAATGGGGAGGGGAATTGGTTGCTTTTTACTTTATGCCACTTAACTTTGTTAAGTGGTTAAAAAGCGGGTATCGGTTCATCTATCTATTCAACTCCATTAATTACCAAACTTTACCCAAAAGTCTGGAATATTATTCTAGGAATATTACTATTTTTATTTTTATATTTTGGGCACTTTCACCAGTACCCATTTATACCCCTTAATTTTCACTGAGTACACTTTTTAACTCCAAAGTGACTCAGATTCATTTAATTAAGCCTTATACTTAATTTCACTCAGTAAAACATGCTTAATTAATTAATTACACTTGATTTACTAATTAATTAAGTTGGGCTATTATAGGTTCAAATACCCCAGATTTATTTCCGTGGCTAGAACACTCAATCCCACCCTCTGGGTGAGACGGGTTCAAATACCCCGGATTCCTTTGCAAGGTTAGAACTCCTACCCCGGTCACCTTGGCGGGTTAGGTTCAAATACCTCAGATTTATTTCTAATGGTAGAAACACTTTGGTTCTGCTGCTTCATGATATATTTTCAATTATAACAGGAAACAAAAATTTATTCATAATTCAAATTGCATAATACAATAAAAGAAAAGATGAAAGAAAAGGCCTTGAGGTTTCCGTCAACTGTAATACTTTTTCAGCTTATCCGTGTTCCAGGTTCTTGCCAGGCGTTTCCCCTGCAGGGTTTCCAAAATGTAGGCCCCTCTTGAAAGTTGTTCCTTTACCCTGAACGGGCCTTCCCGTCTTGGAGCCAACTTCCCATCAGCCGCGTTCCGTCCTCCGACATCTGCTCGTCGGAGCACCAAGTCCTTCACTTCAAACGTCCTGGGCTTCACCTTCTTATTGAACCTATTGGCCACGAGCTGCTTGGCGCTAACATTTTTACAGTGCGCCATGACCCGACATTCGTCTATCAAATCCAGCTCTATGGCTATTTTACTGCTGTTGACCTCTTCTGCTTGCGACAGGGCTTGAACCCTTCTCCAAGATGGTTCTCCCAACTCTACCGGAATCATGGCCTCGCACCCATAAGTTAACCTGAATGGGGATTCCCCAACAGAAGTCTGAATTGTGGTTCTATACCCCCACAGGACATAATATAACTCCTCCACCCACCTTCCTTTGGCAGATTGCTCCATGCGCCTTCGAAGTCCTTCCACGATTACTTTGTTTGCAGCCTCTGCTTGGCCATTTGTTTGAGGGTGTTCAACCGAGGCAAAGCGATGCCGGATGTGGAAATTCTCCATCAAGTTCTGAAACCCTTTGCTTGCGAATTGGGTCTCGTTATCGGTTACCACCTCGGCTGGAATCCCAAACCGACATATTATATTCCTCTCCAAAAATCGCTGAATCCGAGCCGAAGTGATGCTTGCGACTGGCTCCGCTTCAACCCACTTTGTGAAATAGTCCACTGCCACCACTAACCCTTTAAGCTGGCCTTCAGCTGCTGTGAATGAACCCAATTCCTATCTTCGTTGTTTGTCCTGGCGCTCCCACGGTTACCTCCTCTAACTCGCCTTCAGGTTCCGGCCTTGGCATCTGTGTTTCATCTCTCATATCCAATTCCACCATATTAACCGAGCTCCGCTTCGAAGGTTGGTAACCACCTTGTTTAGCCGTAGCTACGTCTTTGGGATCTTGGTCCACCATCCGTACAGATCTGAAATAACAATCCCGAGACTCCTTTTGGTCCCCAGCTATGGTAAGTACCGTCCCCTGCTTACCAATCATTTTCAACTTTTGATGCTTGGTTGAGACTAGCATGTCCCAGGCATGAATTATAGGTCTTCCTAAAATCACGTTGTATTCGGATGGAAAGTCGGCTACAATGAACCTCACCCTCTCGGACTTGTATGCCTCCTTAGTCCCCAATGTTAATCGAAGATCAATATACCCCTTGGGAGTAGTGTTATGGCCATTAAACGTAATTAAAGGTGTGTTGCAAGCCTTCAAATCTTCTTCATCTAAATTCATCTTCTTAAATGCGTGCCACAGAATTATATCGGCACAACTTCCATTGTCCAGGAAAATCTTCCTAACTCTGCAATTTACCAATGTTCCTGTAATCACCAACCCATCAACATGCCCTGGCACTACATCCTTGAGTTCCTTCTTCGTGAAGTATAGCAGCGGCTGTTCTGGTTCCTTTTCCTGTTTGAACTTAGGGCGCTCTCGAATTGAAAGCACCTCACGCAAATATTTACGTCGTGCGTTCATGGTGTCGCCACCACCGCCAAAAGCTCCACTGATCACGTTGCACTCGAACTCCGGCTCTTGGAACTCGTCGTCTTCTTTAATCGGCTTCTTACCTCGTCCCTCTTCTTTAAACTTCCTTTCCTTGGGCGGGCTTCCTAGCCGCCCTCGTCTTCTCTTCCTATTCCTCCATCCCTGCGTACGGATCAAATACTGCCGCAACTTCCCCTCTCTAATGTATTTCTCAATTGCATCTCTAAGATCCCAACATTCATCTGTTGTATGACCCGGACCGTCGTGAAATGCGCAGTACCGGGTTCGATCCAAACCAGCCTGGTTTTGTAATGGCCGAGGTCGCTCGACTTTCTTCATATCGGTGAACGCGACTTCGCGCCATATTTGCGACCGAGGAGAATTCAAGAGGGCATATTTATCAAACCTTCCCTTGGCTTGCTGCCTATCGTCCTGCCGTTTTCCTCGAAGGTCATTTATCCGTCGGCCCCCGAGCTTTTCTCCCTGACCAGGCTGTTGCCTTTGGTCCATATTTTCCCATTCCATCTGCTCGAGCTCCAGGTATTTTTTGGAACGTGTATTGAACTCAACTAAGGTCCGAGGCGGATCCTTATATATTGATTTAGCTAACCGGGATGTTCCGTGTAGCCCGGCTATCACCAGGTGTAAATGAACGTTTTCTGGCAACCCGGGTACTTGGAGCGCGACTAACTTGAACCGATCCAAGTACTTCTGTAATGTCTCCCTTGGCTGCTGCTTAATTTTTCCCAATGCGAATTCTGACTTCGGCTGCTTCTTACTGGTGGCGAAATTTAGTAAGAAGCGCCCACCAAACTCCTCAAAGGATTTGATAGATCCCGCCGGTAATGACGAAAACCACGCCTGGGCCGCACCAGTTAATGTAGTTGCAAAAAGCCTTGTGATTAAGGGTTCCTCTATCCCTTTGATGTACATAGTTGTATCAAAGGCATCCAAGTGTACCTGCGGATCCTGTGTTCCGCCATACTTAATCAACTCGGATAAATTTAGATTTTCCGGGTATGGGGCTTCCACGATCTCATCAGCGAAGGGACTGTCATTGTACTTCCCCCTGTTGTATTTTCTTCGGTACACCCCGGTTACGCCATCTGGAGCCCGAGCGATGGGCCCCTGACGGTGGATCTCGGCAAGTCGCTGCGGGTCTGGCGCGCGCCGGGGTTGCTGATTGTGTCCATCGTGTCCCGGGCCCATAGGGTTCCGTGGCTGTGGGATGCACTAGGGTTTGTGGGATGCACCCGGGTCCAGCATTAGCCCTTGCAGGACGGTTGGAGCGTTCTTGAGTGCCCTGCTGGGGGTTCGCAGTTTGCAGATCCGTCACCACCTACGCGATGGCCTGCTCAGGATCTGGGTTTGTTGCGCGCCACAACCGATCCTCCAAATCTTGGATTTGTCTTGCATCTGCTTGCCGTTGCAGCTCATTACGCTGTTCCAATTCCTCCATCCTTCGAAGTACGACCTCTATAGCTAAATTCGTCACCTGTGGATCCGGGGCTTCTGTCGTTGCGTCCTCAATTGGTTGCAACCCTGAGAGGTACGGGGCATTTGGGTTGACCGCAGGAGTTGATGCTGAATCTGAATGCACGTCACTAACGTGCACCGCATCTGAATCTGGGATTTGCGGCATCTGCTGCCTTGACTCCGCGGGACCTTCCCTAACAGAAGGAGGAACCTGGAGGTTTGATATGGTGGGCTGACGGAGACCACTCCTCGTAGTTCTCACCATCGATTTTGCTGACTTTCACAACGTTTGCCGTGGAAAAGGTCCCCACAGACGGCGCCAATGTTCTGCCTTAAGCAGATGTGTCCAATTGGGATTGGATGATTGATCTATGATCCAGGTGTCTTCTCTGGATATCTATGAGTTAGGTATCTTGAGGACAGCAGATCACACATTATCTAATGGCCTTAGCCTTGGAAGAGGTGTTTGTGTGCGTACTGTCTCGTTGTGCGTATCAGTAAAAAGAGATTAGGTCATACCTGTAGCGTCCAGCTCCTATTTATAATGCTTACCTGTAGGCCTGCCCTGATTGTGGGCCTTACTGATCATGGGCCTATTCCTGGTCCATAACATCTTAGATTTTCAAAAAACCGAAAACCGATTCAATGCAAACCGAATGAAATTGGATTGGATTGAATTGAATTTGAAAAAAAAAATCCAAGCTGAATGGATTATTAAATGATTAAACCGAAAGGATTAGATCGGATGATATTTGCTTTCAAAACTGATCCAATCCAGACCGCGAACACCCATATTGTAATGTATGTGAGAAATTTTGTACATACAACTACCATTCTTTTTTTATCTCTCTTAAAAATCGCATAATCTAAGAAAAAGTGGTGGTTGTGATTTGTGAGAGAGCAAGACATACATAGATAGGAAGAATATGAGAGCGAAGGAGGGATTCAAGGTTCAGGCATGGAATATATAAATTTCGAAGTTAATAACATTAAATTATCAATTACACAGGCTATATTAAGAACCTCAAATTAAATTTGTCTCAAATTTTATTATCAAATAGAATACTTTTTTTGGATCTTGAAAGCCCAATAGACAGTTACGACCCACTAATCATCACAACAAACTCTAACTAACTTTAGTTATTCAGTTATCACTCTCCTTCTGATTGTATAGGCTATAAATACAATGTAAACTCTCAATGTACATATAGATTTAGTTTTACAGAGAATACACAAGCTCACAGAGCTCTCAGAACTCATTTCTTGATTTCTATCTTTATCAAAAGTATATTTGATATCTTACATGGTATCAGAGCTCATCTTGATCCATGGAGACCACAGAATCCACAGAAAGTTCCCATGTAACCACAATTTCGCAAATTGCAAACTCTCTTCATACCTTTTCTAATCCAGTTTCTTTCAAATTGGATGAAGAAAATTTTCTGCCTTGGAAGCAACAGGCCGTGGCTACCATCAAAGATTACAATCCCTCCAAGTTCATAACTCAAGAATCACCAGATTCCACAGATGATGGTCGAAGCAATGCTGCAATATGGGAACAACAAGATCAACTTTTGCTTTCATGGCTGCTCGGCTCTATGTCAGAAACAATCGACACAAGAATGGTAGGTTTTGAAAATTCTTACCAAGTTTGGCACAAACTTGATGAATTCTTTGCCTCACAAACTAGGGCAAAAGTTAACAGCTGAAACTTCAGCTAAGAAACACAAAGAAAGATAGTAGTGTCTGCAAATACCTCCTCCAAATAAAGAAAATTGTTGATGCGTTGGCTGCAACAGGTTCACCCATTGATGTAGAGGACCATATTGATGAATAATGGATGGTCTTAGTGAAGAATATGATCTGTTTGTCACCTCTGTGATTTCAAGAAAAGACCCATACACTATGGGAGGAATCGAAGCTTTACTCATGGCTCAGGAGAAGAGGCTAGAAAAACACAAGAAAGCAGAATTAGGAACTCTTTAGGAAAACATAACATAAATGCAATTCAATAGAGGATGAAGCCACTTTAGAGGAGGATACAATAACATAGGGGGATATAACAATATATGAGGTTACAATAACTTCAATAATTCCAATAGAGCCATAAATACTAACAGAGGAGGAAGATTTCAAAGAGGAGGAGGTCGAAACTCAGAAAACAGACCTCAATGCCAGGTCTGTGGCAAATATGGACACATAGGTTGGGAGTGTCATCACAGGTTCAACCAAAATTTTCCTAGCCCTTTCAATCAAGCCAATGCAAGGACACCACAACCTCATGTTGCTGAAGCTTCTTTCTCAAAGCAAGAACATGATGGTGAATTCTTTTCTGTAATGGATCCAAACTAGTACCCTAATTCTAGTGCCACTAACCACTTTAAACCGGATGTCAACAATCTGCTCAACAAAACACCATACAATGGCAAGGAATCAGTGCAAGTAGGTAATGGTTCTAATTTGAAAATAAAAAATATAGGTCACACAGTACTTCATTCACCTCAATCACCTTTATCCTTCATATTAAAATTGCATTTTTTTTCTCTCTCTTCAGACATTGTTTGCTGATGTGAAAAGTGAAAAAAATACAACTTTAATATTATAACTATGTACTACCTTAGTACATAGTTATAAATTGCTAAAATGACATAAGTTACATAATTTAAGAGGACAAACTTTTAATCCTTTATAAATTACAGTAAAAGAGTACAGAATATATAACTGCTTGTTTAGGCACTTATATCTCATTGTTGGCGTAAGGTCAACATGATAATAATAAGCTATAAGGCAACATCATTTTCAGACTATTTGTTGCCAACATAAGTCATTAACAGCAACTGATCGGTCACTTTCAAGACTTAAAATAGTTCCTGAAGCAACTAAACCTTTGCTATTCCGTCATCCGCTTTTCTCGGTATACTCGAAGTCAAATTTTGAAAAAATGGGATTATCATTTAAGTTAATACTTCAATTATATTTGTGACAATAATATGCATTTTAAGAACATTTATAAATAAGGAATTGATACCCACAGAGATCTAATATTTAGATCGACCCAAACTTTAATTGTATCAAAGAAATATAATTTACTAAATATTAATTATACATACAATATCTAGTATAATTTTGTCAATGGAGAAATTGGACTCAACAGCTCAACAAGAGGAAGTCATTAAGAGTTGGTGAATCATATGAGGAACGGAGCTTCGGTTAAGACTCGGTGCTAGTTGAGTCAGAACAGCAAAACAGAAAGAAAGAGATTTTGATAAGTTGAATGAGGAAATGAGTGGGATAAGTATTAATTTATTGTATTTGTCAACAATGAGGGGTCCAATTAATTATAGAAAACAATTATATATCACGACATTGTATGCTAAAAGAAGAATTATGTTAGCCTGATAATCTCAAACTTATATACTTTGATTGGTCATAGATAACAGAAAGACAACACGCTTATTGATTAACTTCAGACGTGGCCCCAACAATTAATTAGCTGTCTTGGGGGGTTTTGATTAATTAGATTAGATGACCATAGGCTTATTTCTTATCCTTTCATTTTATTTGATTCAATTCAATTAATTATTACAAACACTTCCCAACACACCAAACCTTGGATCGTGTTGCACATTTTTGCTTTCCTTCCAAACACAACACAATCTATTGGTATCCAATAACTCTTTGAAGATCCTTTCCCGTGTCTTTCCTTCTTTCAAAACGCGTGTTTAATTTAGTGCCGTAGGACCCAAAATAACAATGATAATTGACAGCAGTTCCAATTCGTTCACTTAATTTTTATTAATACCATCTTTTTTTCCCCTTTTAGTAATGCGTTAAATAAGCATAATTTCTTTTTTCTCAAAAACAAAAAGTAGGCTAGTATAGAAAAGAAAAACAATTCGACTGTTTTTTTGTAAATTGAATGAAAACATTGTTAATTACTAAATACAAAATCGTTAGTATGTTGTATTGAGATAGTACTAAAAATGCCAGAACAATATGTAATAATTATTCATAATAATAAACTATTGAGATGTGAGTAATTTAAAATTAATAAGGTTGTATAGATACTTTAAAAATAAACTAAAAAAAAGTATTCATGTTGTTGTGATTACATCTATATATGATAAAGGGCCGTTTGGATGTGTTTTTTATTTATTCAAAAACTATTTTCTTTTAAAAAAAGTACTTATCAGAAAAAGTATGTTTGGATGTCTCCATCTAAAAGAAGCAGTAGTGATAAAAAAAATTAAAAATCTATTTCTTTTAAAGCTAAAACTTTTACCTTTAAAAAAAAACAAAAATCAAAAGTTAAATATTTTTTAAAAATCTAAATAACTTTAATTTTTGTAAAAAACAATTCTAAAATAAACAAAACATAAAAAAAAAACACTTTTCTTGAGAAGCCCAACCAAATGGGCTCTTTATGAGATCGAATTACTTGAATTTGGTTACAACTGCACCAGAAATTGTGCATAGTTTAAGAAAAAAAATGTAATTAACTTCACTTATTTTGGAAAACATTTGTTTATTTTCCATTTAATGTAAACAACTGCGTCAAGAAATTGTGCACAGTTTATTTTCCAAATATATATATATATATGTTAAAATGATTTGTCTCGTGACCAGATATAAGATTTGGTGCGGTCAAACAATTATAACTATATATTACAGGTAGTACATAGTTATAATATTAAAGTTGTATTTTCCCTTTTTTCAGAAGTTTAACTATATAC